AACATATACTTTACGTTTATATTTGTAACATAAAATATAATGGAGTAGAGCCAGGCTGCCTGAGTTTGAATTCTTGCTCTGCCACTGTGTGATGTTGATCAAGTTACTCAACCTCTCTTGAGTTTCAGTTTGCTTATCTGTAAAATAAGGAGAATCATAGTATTTACCTCAAAGGGAAATTGTGAGGATAAAAATGGTTTAATGCAGTTAAAGTACTTAAAACACTGTCTGGTATGTAGTAAGAACTCTATACTATATTTGGTGGTGTACTATATTTCTACATTATATTTTGCTGTTCTGTGTATATTTTAGCATCTCTGAACTTAAAGAGTGTCTTATGATGGCATGTGAGAGTCTAGATGGCATTATTTTTTCTTTTTTAGTGGTATATAAAATAATGGTGCTTCTTACAATTAGTAGTGTCTTATATTTGATGAGGTATCATATGGGTGTTATTCCCACCCCCTGGGACAATGAAGTTGTTCACATCACCAAGGACAGCTTCCAGGATTATCTTCTAGCCCTTTGTTCACTTGAGAGCTTCTTTCCTTTAATCCTTAAAAACCAAAAGGCAGATTATCCCCTCTTCTTGGCATCTCTTGTGCTAGAGCAGAGGCAGTAAGACTCCAAAAGCCAAACACTTTTTATCTCCGATAGGGTATCTGCTGTTCACAAACATGTCATCTCCATGCCCTTGCACATGCTTTTTCATCTACGTGGAGCATTAACTATCAACACATCCAGCTTCAATGTCCCTTCTCTAAGGAGGTCTTTCTCGGCCTTCTCAGGTCCCCCTCTCCCTTCGCTATGCTGGGTTGAAGGCTCCAGAGCACTCACAGAGGATTTATCACACCAGTTTGTGATTGCCCATTTATATGTCTCTGACATCATCATATTGTGAGCTTCCGAGGGTGGGGAAACTTTGTTTTACCCATTCACTCTTGTCTGCCAGTGCAGAGCACAGGCCTCAGTGCATGACAGCTGGGTGGACACCGAGCAGGGATCCAGCAAGCGTTTAATGCGTGAAGGAATGAATTCATGGTCTGGCGTCCCCTTCAGCCCGCTCCCTCTCTGGACCCACCGCACTGCCCCAAGCATCCTTTCTTTCTTGGGCATCCCCTAACACCTGACTCTCTTGTCTCCAGAATCCAAGCTGGACAAGATGAAGAAGGACATCCTTGCACAGGTGCAGAACGAGTGCTGGAGCCGCAGTAAGCAGCTCATGACAGAGCTCACAGATTTCACGCTGGTCTTCCAAACCATCAACTCAGACATTCATGCCATTGCGCAGTGCTCCCAGAAGGTAGACTCCCCTCATCCATTTTCCCCAGCTTATTCAGGGCCCATCCTGCTCAAAATCTCAGCACACTCTCTTCAAGTCTCTGCTGAGCTCCCAAGGGGGCTTGATGCTCTTCAACTGTGCTCACCTAAGTTATTTGCCCTTGTTAATTCTCACCCTGTTCACGTGGCCCTCAGCTTCCTTATGTCGGGGGAGGCCCTGATGTGAGGAGGGAGATAGAGACCTGCTTTGAGATGTGATTCTGCTCTTTGTGACAGTCAGTCAGATAGGGATATGTTGCCCTATTATCAGGGTAGTGGTCCAGTGGGTAAGAACTAGACCACCTTCAGAGAGACCTGGGTCAGAGGGGGATCTGATCCCAGATTGCCCCTGATCCCAGTGGGTTAAAAGGCTGCAGCTGGGTCTGGAGCCTCCACTCCAGAGGCGGGAGTTCCCCTTGGGGATAGGCCTCCAGAGGTATGCAGGGTTGTGGCGGTGCTGTTCTCATGCTGTAACCTCTGCAGTTGGATGAGGCCAATGAACAGTACATCCACCTGGAGAAGCGAGTGGAATACATACGGTCACTCCATGAACTCATCCGCAACCACTGTAACCTCCTTAGTGCTGAGAATGAGGCACTGGACATCTCGGTGAGAGGACAATTCAGGGAGTCACCCATCCCTCCCAGTCCCCCTCCCGCACAACCACAAGGACTCCATTACCCTCTGCTTGCCCCACAGCTTCTGGATGTGTGGGAGGCATTTCAGTTTGAGAAGAGCCAGGCCTCAGAGTTCTTGCTCAGCAAGCAACATTCCATCGTGCCCAAGCTGCAGCAGATGATAGCAGCAGCATTGGCAGAGCTGGAAGGCCTGCTTGAGAAAGCCCTGTCTGGTCCCTTCATGGACCCCACGCAAGAGCAGAGAAGCACTGAGTGCCAGCTCATCTCCATGGAGCGTCAGTTCCAGAACACAGTCAGCCACATCAGTGAATTGCACCGTGCCTATGCCACCTTCACTGGTACTGAGGATCTCTGCCCCTGCCCTGTGAGATAGATCCTCCAGCTGAGATAAGGGTTGGGACTCAGGGTTCTATGTCCTGTATGACCCTAAGCAAGCCTCAGGAATCACATGCCTTTATTGGTCTCTTTTACAAACAAAAATTACAAGGCAAAAATCATCATTTATTGACTATGTCAGATGTTGTGTTTAGGGTGGGGATACTGGGAGCTCATGGTCTGGTAGTGAAGACAAATAAGCAGATGTTCCATCAGAATGTGATGGAGTCAGGGGCTAAAATCCTGTGTAGGAGAAATGTAAGGGTGCCTTTGTTGTAGAACTTCACCTTTGTGTAGCCCTGTTCAACACAGTCCTATACCAGGCAGCAAGTCCCAGATAAGAATAGGTCTTGAGGCTCCAGTAGCCACTGCCTCCAGCCTATGTGCTGTAGCGGAGGCTGCTGAGGCCTCACTAGCACACAGGAAGAGACCAGGGTAGAGCTATTGGTCTTAGCCCTTCCATACAGTGGTGCAGCTAGGCTGGTTCCCTTCTGCACATACAGAACTTTGTGGGCTCAAGTTTTTTTTCTCAGACGCAGTCATTTATATCCCTTGGAAAGGCACCTTGTTTCTGAGTTGCACCAATGACCAGCTACTACCGTCTCTACCTGTGGGCATCCCCCAGCCCAGGCCCATTTGTCTAGATGTGAGGCGGAGGATGCTCTGGAACCATCGCAAGCAAGGAACTTTTTATTTGGCAGAGTATGGGAGGCTCTCATACTCTAGCTGACATGGACCACAGACCTTGACTTCTCCCGCTAGGGTTAAAGATATCTGTGAAAAAGCAGAGTAGAGGAGCTCAGGCCTTGTGGCGCTAGGCCCAGGAAACTCCACAGCGTTGCTTTTACTTCCTCCTCACCAAACTCCCAGTTTTTGTTAAAATAATCCAGGATTTTAGATCCAGATAATTAATAACGACTCCTTATTTTCCATTGTTTATATTTATTTTACTCATTACTTTTGGCATTCACTTTGTTTTATAACCATTTTAACAACTGTTTTGACGTATGAGGTTTACTGATTTATTTACGAACGACTAATTTTTTTTAAAAAATCGCATCTTTATTTTCATTCTTTCCTTAAATGGCTAGAGTGTTTCCCTGTGTACCTTTTTTTCTCAGAAGGGAGTTGGAGGTATTAAAATTTTTGAGTTATTTATATGCTGAGAATGACTTTATAATGTCCTTGTATCACAGCTTAGCTAAATATTAAATTCTGAAGTCATAACATTTTTTCTTCAAACTTAAATATTAGATCATTGTCTTCTGACATTCAGCATTGTGAACAAATCTGATATCAATCTGCTTTTTTTTTATAGGTAATATGTTTATCTGTTGTTTAGTAATGGCTCTTATATTTGCTCTAGTCTCCTTACAGAATTCTTATGTGTTCAGGTTCTGAACAAATCTATATTAAAAAAACAAAAAGAATTCTTAAGGATTTACTGGATCTCTCATTAATTTCTTTTATCATCATTATTCCTTTATTCTTTTTCTCTGAGTTCTGGAAAAAAAATTATGATCCTATAAACTTCCATTTTCTATGGTATCTACTCTAGATTTTCCATTGCATTTTAAAACACACACATATTGTATATGCATTCATGCTTATTTGCACATGTGTATGCATGTAAGTATATGTTTATATGTATGTACTCAGGCATATGTTTCCTAGCTGTATCTGCTGAAGAGCACAGAAGCAAAGATACAAAGAAGCAAGAAGCCACATTATGCTCAGATCTTAGTTTCTAATACCATTTCCCACTAAAAAGAACCACAGCTCCTCAGAGAAATGGATGATTCCAGAGCTGTGGCAGGAACCTCGAGTACCTTTTTATGCTAGAGAGTCAGGAAGTGTTAAATTTAAAAAAAAAAAGTGCCAGGAGAATGTCACAGAAGGGTTATACAGAAGGGATGCCAACTGGCCAAATGCAAGCCAATTTGAGCACCAAAGTACAGTAATAAATTCTAAACTATTGAAAAAAAATTTATCATCTATAGTAAAAATAAATAGATAAATCAATGAGGGAGAAGTGAGAACTTGTGCTTACAGTAGAATGCCAAGATCCAATTGGTAAATGTGGACGGAGGGCTAAAGTGGAATAATCATTATTTTGCCACCATGATGGTGTAGATATCAGATCAGGTAAGGATCATCAATGGATGCCAAATCTGGACAAAGTTGACGAGCAGAATATTTGCACTGTCTTAGAGAGTTTCTCTCAGAGACTACTTATTCATTGCAAAGGAAGAAAAAAGAAATAGCAATTAGTTAGTGGAGAAATTGGACAATAATTTGACCAGGTGATCAAAATTAACATCGCCAGTGAAAAACATATGGACATCATGTGCCTCCAGATGTGATACCTGGAGGAGGATACAACATCACCTATGTGATAGTTCAGCCGAGAATGAATAACATCATTTTTAAAAAATCATAAAAACATAAGAAACTATTAACAAAAGGCAAAAGAAGACTGTATACTTTAAAAATGTCTGTTACAAAAGACAAAGAAAGGCTGTGGGAATGTTCTAGATTAAAAGAAGCAAAAAGACATGACAAGTGAGCGCAGTACTTCACCCTAGACTGGACGCTGTACTTAAGGGGGGAAAATGCTATATAGGGCATTATTATAAAACTGGAATATGGACAGTAGAGTATTGTATCAGTGTAATGTAGGAAGTTAGTAATTGTACTGTGGCAATGTAAGAGAACATCCCTATTCTTAGGAAATACACACTTGAGTAATTTGGAGGTAAAGGGCCGTCATTTATGTAACGTGCCCTTAAATAGTTTAGGGAAAAAAGTGTATTTGTGTGTGTATGCACACGCCCACATATACACATAGAGCACGTGAGCACAAACAATAAAGCAAATGGGTAAAATGTTAACAAAAGGTCAATCTAGATAAAAGGTAGTCAAGTACTTGTTTTAGTCTTTTTTCTTGCAACTTTAAAAATTTGAAATCATTTACAGATAAAACGTTTAAAAATGCAATGAAAATTGCCAAGTAGATACCACAAAATGTCCATCAAAGGACGTTTGCTCTTAATCCCCAAGTTTGTCTTTATCTTTTCATGTGTTTGGAGATATCGTGTCTGTTCTTTCTTATAGAGAAGTTGTTTATTTTTCCAAGATTTGATGTTCAGACAACTGCTATCAAAGATAATATGTGTCTCTAGGCAAATCTTTTGAGTTTAGAAAAAGAAAGATGGGAAGAGTATAGATTTACTGTTATTTTATTTTTTGTCAGATCAGAGCTCTGATAGCCTAGAGATTCCCATTTTTTTAATATTCTAAGATCTCTATGATGGATGATGTTTGCACGGGTAAGATGCATGATTCCCAGCATTTGCATATAACGCTATCGCCTTTTCTCCCACTCAAGAAAGTGGGCTGGAATTCAAGTGACTAAGAATGACAATCTTACAGCAATAGCCTTGACTGTGGTCTGATGTCTTTTAAGTAAATCACAAGCCTCAGTACTATAAGTACTATTAATTACAAATTACTTTTGATACATATCTCACAAGTTATTATAAATAATTGGTTAAGAACAAATACAGTAACTTGTGAGATGAAGGAGGGAATAATTGCCAAAGGCAAACACAACAGGGAGCGTCACCATTTATCTCTTATGGCCCTCTGTGTGGGCCAGATCTTTTATCATCTTCATCTCACTGAACTTTCTCTTGGGCTGACAGTTCATTCACTCATTCATTCATTCAACACATATTTGTCGAGTGCCTACGGTGTACCAGGTTTGAGGTACATCAATGAACAAATGACAAAACCCTTTCCCTAATGGACCCAACATTCTACCTGGGGGAGAAAGACAATAAAGAATAAATAAAATATAACTATGTAGAAAATGATAAATGGCATAGAAAAAAAAAAAAAACTGAGCAGGGAAGAGGCGTTGAGAGTGCCTGGGAGGATAGATGGCAGTCTTTAGTAGGATAGTCTGCATCTCCATAGGCCTCATTAACAAGATGCTGTTTGAGCAAGGACTTGAAGTTGGTGAGGGCATGAGCCCTGTGGTTCTCTGAAGGAAGAATGAACTATGACTGCAAAGGCCCTTAGCAGGAGGGAGCATGTCTGGTGTATCTGATTAAAGAGTCCGGTGTGGCCAGCATGTAGTAAGTGAGATGGAGACTAATAGAAGAGGAACCCTTCCCTTTCACTGTCATCATGTTTTCCTAGATATTCTTTCCTTGAAATACTGTTCCTTGGATTGAGCCCACCTCCACTGTTGAACTGAGCAATTTGGAACTCTGCCCCTGCCATCACTTTCCAGACCTTCCTTTCTGTCATCGTGGCCTCTTGACTGACCATTCCCCCAGCTCCCACCCCCTTACCCCAAATAGGTCTCAGCCAGGCCTATTCCACAGGGGATGAGAGTCCTGTGCCTCTGCCTATCTGTGGGACCCGTCCTATTGTGCAGCAGCAACGCATCTGGCACCTGTACCGAGTCATCTCTGAAAACATCAGCGAGTGGAAGTGCATGGCTTTTGCCAAGGTACCAACACCATCACTTGGAGCTCTTTCCTGGGAGTGGAGGACTGCAGCGGTGGGAGTGGGGAAGGGTCTCAAGCTGACAGAGAGCCCTTCTCCTGCAGTTCAGTCTGGCTATGGCCCAGGAGAAGACAGATGGCTGGCTGACAGAGGCAGCACGGATGTGCGTGACCCTGGGGCTACACAGCCCGGTGCTGCAATGCTGCATGCATACGCTGGAGGAGTTTCGCAGCTACCTGCCCTTGCTCACCAAGCTGGGCAGCCTCCGGCTGCAGAATCTGAACTGCCAATCCCTTTTGCGAGGTGTGTTTGGTTATTGTCAGAAGGGTGGGGAAAAGAAGAATGTAGGGGTTAGAGCAATGCAACAACTCAGTTCCCTGCTGCTCCTGCTGGAAACATCTTTCCTCCCTAAGTTGCTCCCTACCCTTTCCTAGGTATTACAACCTCTTTTCCCTCACAGGGACAAAACTTTCTAACCTCCCTCAATGCCATGTGGGGTCCTCTCTGCTGATGGTGGCTGGGCTCAGGCTGGAGTCTTAGCTCTGGGCTCTGAGTTGTGCTCTGGACCTTGGGTTCTAAGCTCTTGGCTCTCTATGTTGCTTCCTGAAATCCGCTGTCTGGGGTCTAAGCTGGGTTGGGCTGGGCTCTGGGTCTTGAATCTGGGCTCTGGGCTTAGGGGCTTAGGGTAGGACTGGGCTCTGGGATATGGGCTAGACTCTGCCATATACTGGGTGTTGCTCTGACTTGTTGTCTCCTCTACCTACAGCCTTAGGGCTGGGCTGTCTCCGCAACATAGAACTCTTAACACTGGGCCAGCTGCTCACTTGTCCACTGCTGGAGTTTGCAGATCGAATCAACCAGGTGGGGCCCACAGGAGGGAGAGAGGGTGAGAGAGAGAGAGGGAGGGAGGGAGGTCTGAGATCAGGACCTGCAATAAAGCCAGTTAAGGCCCAGAAGCCCCTTGAGACAAGGGGGCAATAGATGTTGGTATGTACGTGAGTGGGGATTGAGATTGCTGACCTGACTGGAGGGTAGGAACAGTTTCCTTCAGATGGGGATCTCATGGGTGGTTCCAGACACTGTGACTGAGAATATGTCTCCCCCCAACCAGGGAAGGAAGTGGGTGTCAACCCCAAAGTTGTGGGTCTACAGAACAGCAGATGTCCCCCAAAACTTACCCTTGGCTCCAAAGAGCACAAGCTGATTGAAGTATTGTCTGCCCAAGTGGAGCCTTGCAAAACAGTGGGTTTCAAGGCAGTGCCCATGGGTCTAAGTAGTTAGATGCTGCCCACGGCCTATCTTTGAAGCCTGATGGTCCCACTCCCACTTCGTTTCTGAGACCTCTACTCCCCTGAGCGCTGCCCTTTGAGTTCTGCCTCAGACCCAATCCCCAAGTCTTAGCTCCAAGGCTATCCCCTAAGCCATTATTATGCAGTCCTGTTTCCTGAGACCCAGCTGTTCCAGGTCTGGCAGTACGAAAACGACCGAATTCACGCTCAAGAGTCCCTACAGAAGCTACAGCAGTGTTGGGAAGTTCGCCAGCTGCGCCTGCTCAACTTCATCCTGCATGTCCCCTATGAGCCACCAGTCTCAGAGCGTTCCAAGAGGCACATGCTCTGCAGCCCCCAGTGGGAGGTAGTGGGCAAGGACAGTGGCACCTTCATCCTCTCAGGTGAGACCCAGCCCTTGTGACCCAGTGAATGTCCCCTCCTTGGGGCCATTTTCATCCACCATATCCATCAAGCCCTGCCAGATCTGGCTTCTCTCTCTGGCACCGTACGTACTGGGCAGCCTGAGACATTGGTCTGTTCTGAGACGGTATCTTCCATGTAGCTATTATACCATCTTTATCTCCTTGGGAACCCCCTACACACCTCGCTCTCTCCACCCAATGCCTGGCTCCTTCAGTAGAGGTCCTTCCCTTTCTGATTGTACTCAGAAATTCCTCACAGTCACTTCTCTCCACCTGTCAATGCTCTGTCGTCTATATTGTACGCTGCTATCTGATTTTATGCCTCATTCATTCATTCATTCTTTTATTCTTTCCCTCATCAAAATCACCTGCCTACTCTGTGCCAAATACAAGAGACCCTGAGATTTACAGACAGCAGCCTTGTCCCTCAGGAACTCCTAGTCCAGTGAGAGGCAGACAATAGTACAGGGATAGGTGCGTGATGGAGCACCTTACTGAGGGCAGTAGAACCTCAGAGAGAGGACCAGCTCAAAGAACCAGAGATAATCAGAGAAGTCTTCCCTTAGGCAGAAGTGTCATGATGACTTTTGAAGGAGAAGGAGTTTGCCAAATCTGCAAGGTGAGAAGGGCATGCCAGATACAGGGAACAGCACAAGTACAAGCATCCAAGATAATGTAGTTGAGGAATTGCTAGTAGAGGAGAAATTCTCTTATCTAACACAGTTGGAACCCAGTTAATCCAAAAAGTTAGTTAAATAGAGAAACCACAAAATATGACGTATACATAGTTTAAACATATATAGGCATATTTATTTACTAATAATGTACATGTACTTTGTTAGCTTAAAAATATACATGTGCATTTAGCTTAAAACATATACATGTACCTTTATTTATTTATTAACCTTTTAACCTAAGGACACCCACTGATAGTTCCTCACTGACTTTCTTACATTAATGTATTGTCTACTGTTTCTACTTTCATTTTCTGTAAAGTGAGGCAGCAACATAAAGACACTTGTAAAGGTTACCTGAGTCCAGAACTTTTCTAGATTTTTATTATAATTTCCTGATTTTTAAAAATTAACTTGCCTATATCCAATAGCATGTTTTTTTTTTTTATAAGTATGAAACCTTTATTGCTAATGCAGATACAGATACAAATGCATGTATTCTCTCAGAGAAAGCAGCTAGACTTTGCCCAATTTACAGGATAGCACAACTTTGGGAAAGAAAGCAGTGGGTACAGTTTGTACTAA